TCGTTTCGTTTGGTACACAACTAAGCCCGGGTATTTAATAAGCCCTTGGTTAAATCAACGAATCAACAAAATCAACAAAAAGGTTCGTGAAGGAAATTAAATAGGAGCCTTCCGGTCGCCGATTTTCGAAAAATGATATTGTTTATCTGTTTAAACATTCCTTGAACGATTTTCTCCATAATTACTATAGGACGCAGTTCGCACATAATGTTTAAAAATATAATCAGTCATTTAGCATAATTTCGGATAAATTCAGTTTTGGTTCATCAGTTTTGTAACACAAACCCCGCGCATTGAACAGATCTGAATTTGAAATGATAACAATTCTTCTCAAAGATTCACTAATTCGACCATGTCTTGGTGGTTATTTATAAGCAACTGAGATATATCTGAGAATGGGCAAAATTATTTAAGCTGGAGCCACAATTAGTCAAGGAAGAGTAATGAGTCCTCCTTAATTGATAACTTACCTCTGGGAATGACAGTCCTTATCTCAAAACATATTAATACCCATTTTGTGAAAAACTAACATAATTTTAGCATTCATTATTATTTTTATATAAAAATGATTCATTTATACCATTTTTCTCATCAATATCTGAGAAATAATGCAACGTGTTGCATTGCTCTTGTTGATGCACTGATTACATAATTTTCTTGCATATATTCATGGAATGTCAGATATCCAGAATAAAACCAGATTGTTTTGGGAAACACGCCAGAATGTGAAATAACATTATTTTTCATTTCACAATTTTTTCAATTGCTCATTGCCATTTTTCAGTCGCCCACTTCAAAAGTTAGGGTAGGCGGGTATGTAGGTGTTTGGTTGGTTGGAGTTAAGTGAAACCACAACAAGTGACAGGTATCCCATTTTCAAGAAGCAGAATTTTACCAAATCGACAAACATGACAAACAAATCGACAAAATGGCGGATTCAAAACTTTCTAGTTGTATGATACTCAACAAAAGAAATAATCAATAGTGTAAATACAACTATTATAGACTATATTTAAATCGTTAGACTTTGACAATAAATTTAAAAATAATGTTTAATGAGTGATACTACCCACTGTGAGTTTGGAGTCCATTTTAGTCTTATTTTAGTTGAAATCTTACAAAATGTTCTTGATGTCACAGAATATATGATATTTTTACTTATTTATTATGCATCGGTAAATCTTTGAATATAAAAAAAACTTTTAAAAATGACCCCTGCGTAATCCCAAACAAATGATAAACGGTTATGTTCTATGATTCTCTGCAAGCAAAACTATGTTCAGTGTTATTAAATCTACCAATACAGTTTATTTAAAACAGTGGAGCTTCAACAGGAGGATGTTTTTCAAATTTTCTCAATTTCTTTAGTACTAACGGTTCAAACTTAGGTCAATCACCACATGCACGCGATATGATACCTATTACCTGGATGGCATCTGTAGCTGATTATTTTGACAGAAAAACTCACAAAATATTATTTGATTCTTGATTTATGTTTAGTTTAGCTTTATAAATATATATTATGTATACATATTTACAACTACAGCCGATAATATTTTGGTTAATACTGTTTTTATTTTAAATCGGATAATATTGACTTTTTACATGTGCCAAACTGTTCGCTTTTAATAATAAAAACAACTAGTAAACGGACAGATATGAAAAACTGAATTTAGTCAAAAATACACAGTAAATATATCTGAAGTACAGGGTGTGCCAAAAAGTTTTGCAACTTTTTTAAATGGCGAGAAAAGTATCAAAACATCAAGGTTTTGCCATACAAAAGTATTTACAGAAACTTAAGGATAGGCATATTTTAACATTTAAATACTAAAGCTAAACTGGACTTTTTTTGATCGGCCCTTGTATAACAATCTGTTATATCCTGAAGTTTCAGCATCATATATTAATAATAAGTCTTAAAACGGTTGCTATAGCAACACGGGGGTAGGGGTGGGCGGGGCAGGTACCAATTTTTCTAATTATGAAAAGCTCCAAAGTTTATTAATATTTCTTTCTTTTAAATGATCAAAATGTTTGGGAAATTGTTAGATTTATTCAGCATGATGTTCATCAAGTACAAATAATGACATTTAGCACTGTGATGTCATAATACCACAGTTCAATAGTCACAAATTCAAATTCAGTCACAGTCAAGAAATTGCAAAAATGGCTGCAATTCTCACCTGATTACAGAAGGCCTTGCGTTTGGTGGCCTAATTCCACACTTCACTTGGACACACAACATTATGCTACCATGAAGAAAGTATAAAAGGAGTATACACCAGATAGAACTACAATTATGGGGTATCAGAAGAGCTTTAAAAGTGATGACTACACCCTGGATGACAACTCTAAACATGGGAGGCAAAAGCTCCACAAGTCATGGTTGAAGAAATTGCTAAGAGTGTTCGACCTGACAGGCATCAAAAGTACATAACATGTAAAGGCCAATATTTTGAGAACATGTGAAATGGGACACTGTGCAATATACATCCATTAAGTCTAGGATGTGCTCCTAATAATTTAGTATCTTAAAATGTATTTTTGAGCATACTTCTTATCGCTACACAAAATGGTATTTGTTGATTAATTATTTCATATTTTTTTATTCCATTGACGTGACAATAACCTGCCCCACCCTACTCAAACTCACCAATTTGATTTTGTTATAACATCAACATAGTATTATCAGCCAAACTGAAAATTTGTAGAATTAACAAAATGTCTCCAAGGAACATTAACTGAAAATTTCATGGAAAAATATCAATTATTGATAAAGTTAGAGCATATAGTGCATTACTTCTGAGGCAACCCTCGTAGACAATCTATTGCTAAGGTACGGTTATCGATGCATAGCTTTCCAATATTGAACGAGGTCGATACTTCAAAGTAGAAAAATCGAAACGATTTTGTTACTTCATCTGTAATTCGAAAAATACAATAGATGATGAAGAACACGTTCTTTTTTGTTGTTCTCAATCAGAACTAAAACTAGTTCGATCTCTATATCTCAGTAAAATACAAAGTATAAACGATAGTTTTTCTCATTTTAATACAAGTAGTCTATTTTTATACTCCTTGTTAGCGCACGATGATACAATTAATGAAACAAATTGGTGATTATTTTACCAATAAGAGTTCATAAAAGTACCAAAGAGTTGACGTGAAATCATTTTATGCTATATACTTAGCACTTAGTGATTGTTAAAATTAGATTGTATTTATTGTTTTGCCATGCATGAACATGAATGTTTTATTTGTTATTTGCTTTATTGGACTTATATCCCGATGTACATTAAATGTTCAAAAGACCAATAAACTTATTAAATAATTAATTATAACTACTAGAATCAAACCCCGCAGGCGCTAATGACTCACTTACAGCTTTATGAACCCTGGTTCTGGTAACTTCTCGTTGGTCTTCGTTTTTCTGAATAATGGCCCATTACTAGTTCCCCTTTCAAATAAGTAACACTTCCAAATGTGGACAGGGCTAACATCCTTTTGGTTAGAAGATTGGATTCCAAGGATTATGGCTTTGTGGTTTTCTTGTGCTTAAAAAGTCAAGATGTTTTCCCCAATTTGACATTTTTGGAAACGATGACGTTCATAGCCTTTTGGATTCACGCATGGTGCACCTGTTACTTCGCCAATCCTTAAGCCCGGTATACACCAATGGGGCAAGTTGGGACCTCCATACTCCATAGACTTAACATTGCGTGGGACCTCGTGGGACCTTTTGGGATTTTGCCCCATGAAGTCCGTGGGACTCCATGGGACTCCGTGGGATTTTGCCCCATCTTGCCCCATCGAGTCCCACGAGGTCCCATGAGGTCCCATGAAGTCCCACGTGGGACTCGGTGGGACAAAATCCCGCGGAGTCCCATGGAGTCCCATCGAGTCCCATCGAGAATGAACATGTTCATTCTTTCCATTGGGCATCGTGGGATTTTCGATCATATGACGTGTTGTGTGAAGCCCGACATACACCAATGGGGTACGATGGGATTTGATGGGACTCCATGGGGCTTGATGGGACTCCATGGGGCACGATGGGGCAAAGTCATCAAGGTCCCATGGGACTTCGTGGGATTCGATGGGGCAAATTGGTATTCGATGGGGCAAGATGGGACTCGATGGGGCAAGTGGGATTTTGCCCCATTGGTGTACGTCGTATACCGGGCTTTAGTAAAGCATGAACTGATAGTGAAGATAGTGTACTGAATAAACCTTGCACTTAATCATATTTGCACTCAGTGAGACTTGGCAGCGCACGCAACATTTCAGATAAAATACCCATTGTAATAGGCATACGTTTATGTTTTGGCGAATTCATTACCAATGCCCCATTGATAGGCTTCCTTACCATAAAGCTATTTTTAAGGGTCTGTTTCATTTAAAAGTTTGTAAAGAAAAGACAGCCCCGAAACAATGGTTGCGATTGATGAACCTGCATAATTTTGATGAATTTGGTTCAGATATTGGAGACATTTGACCAATATGAATAATAATTTGTTAGATAAAATGCTGAAATGTTCTTGCGTAAATCTCAGTTGTTTAGTAGCATTAGAAGATGAAAATAGGTCAACTATTCTATTTCGCAATTAATTGGACCTGGGGGGGGGCTATCTATCAGACAAAAAGTTATGAAACATTGTGTGGATGGGTGTCATTTTAATGTGTCACGCGTACATCTTTGCTTATCACAGTCACGTGATTCGTGTATTCCTCTCAGAGGGGGAGATTTCCCAGATATGCCAATGTCTTGAAAATAATCTTTTTCGTTAACGATTGTTTCAGTTATGAACATAATACGCATTAAGTCCAACTGTCCGCTAAATATTCAGTAAACAATTTTAGCTGAAGCTTCATGAGTTATTCAAAATTTGAAAATTCCCATGCCACGTAGGCCTAATGATTTCAACTAAATTAATCCTCAAAGCTGTGACCGAAAATCATTTGAATAAACAGAACAATTGTTTAAATAACGGTAAACATTCAGCAACACTCAACCATTTGGGAAGAAATCTGAATCAAGACAGAGGTAGGTCATTCACTTAAATTACTTAAAAATTAACAATTGTAGTTTTTCTTTTTCATTTAATTTCAAATATATTTGAACCTAAAGTGGCTGATAAAACAATGTGGACTTGCTTAATTGAACAAAGAACAAAGAAATGTATGCACTGTTCTACTTGTATCCACAAGTATGTTTCAAGATTGAAGTTGAAGATAAATATTGTATATAAAATTTGTAAATACCATGCCACTTGTTAAGAATTAGTTTATTCATTCACTTACTTACACAATTACACTTATATAAGTGCTTGCTAGAGGAGTAGCAGTTTAGTGAAGGGGCAAATTTCTTTTTTAGGCCTTTGGATTTCTGGCCTTCGAGAACTTATATTTAATGGGCCTCATTTATATGCCTTTTATTACAGCATCTAACTTTGGATTTGAATGAGTAAACGTAGTGCAATGAGGATGAATACGTGTTTTATTCAAGCGTTTGTTTTGGTAATGTTGGCGACCGCCGTAATTTCGGTAAGCTATTTTTAATAAGCAATAAATATGGAAACTTTATTTTAGGTTCATTTTCTATTAGTCATGCCATTAAAACAACAGCTGGTAATTCACTAGGGATGATTTATGTACATTCTTAGTGTCCAAACATAATCATTCCGTTAATGAAAACTATATACATATTGTATTTCTTCCAATAGTCCAGCGAAAGCGGAAGCGGAAGCAGAAGCAGCAGCAGCAAAGAGAAGAGCGAGGGTGAGAAATGTGGAGAAGTGAAAAAGAATGGTGTCTTCAAAGCGAACGGTGTATGTGAAGAAGGTACAACATGCCTGTGTCCAGAAGTTCCAAACTGCAGCCGAAAGGTCAAGTGCTCCTGTGAAGTACAAACAACAGTGGCACCAACCGATCCTCCAACCGATCCTCCAACCGCAACCGATAGTATTACATTTGCAACATTGTCTTAGAAATAGCATCAGATCGCTTTTCCGCTGTACACTGTACGAAAAAAAGATTAAATAAAATGTTTTATCTGTGAATTGCCTGTTTTGTTGATATATTGGTATTGTTTGTGTGGTGAAAATCACAGGTATATGATGAGTAATCTTCATAAACTTTCGACTGTTTGACCCAAGTATTACTTATATGACGGGTGATTCGGGGCCGTCAGATGGGGGTGGGATGCGTTGGGGGCGATTTTTCGAATTGACTCATACACTTTGAAAGTAACACACCAACATCCCTTGACTGAAGCAGCTGACGTTAACCCCACTGCCCCCTCCCTATCGGGCTAAGTGACTGGACTTGGAGCAGAGACCGGACCTTGTATGAAGTACAGCACGCCGTCACTTGGTTCTACATTATTTGTAATTTATATTCGGTAGAGTTTACGAATTTAGAATATAAATAATTTCTATAGTTATTGTGGGGTGTAGTACATGTATTTGTCGTGAAAATCGAACACGATTTTGATCCAGCTGCGAGCTGCATTGTTATTAGCTGTTTAGTGAGCTGTGTTGTTAGGTTTGTACACATCATTCTGGCTCTTGGCTCCGCAAGGTAAACACATACTACAGCACATGAACGCACAAACATGGAAAACGAGATGATACAAAACGTGTCACAACTGATTTCTGATCAATTTACGCAGTTTAAGAAAGAATTGAAACACGACAATGAAGATAACAACACCAGACTCCTGAAGAAGATAAAGACAGAAGACAGCTTTACGTTCAGAAGAAAGGGCAACAAAGTGCAACATGACTTCAACGCAACGGTGCTAACCACGCTGGAGAGCGCACAAAACGTCATAGAACGAGCCGCCCAGACGGAAGCAGACCCAGAAGCACAAGCGAATCTGTTGCAACAGGCACACAAAGAACTACAAGAAGGTATAGATAGTCTTATATATAGAAATAAATTAGTAAAAATGGCGGATATTTCCGACGCCGGCTGGAAAGCGGTGGACGAATATGACAAACAGCCGCTGGCAACTGATTTAGAAGACGATAAACGTATTAGAACAGCAGACAGAGATGCAATGCGTAAAATGCGTACAAAATCTAGATACTCGCGCAGAAATTTCAATTTCAGATACAGGGGAAGCTACTCCGATTATCCATCTGCAACATACGGCAGAGACGTCCAGCAAGAGGGCTACCAATATGGCCAAGTCAGAGGCAGACCTTCGTACGGTTGGCGCGCACGTGGTAGAGGCCAAATACACAAACCAGGCGGATGTTGGACCTGTGGAGAGCTCGGCCACTGGGCAGATACGTGCTCAGCAGGGGGTCAGAAAATCCCAACAACAGACGGCACACGCTAACTCGCACTCAAAAGAAAAGTTAAGTACATTTTCTGAAAAATCAAGGTTGGGTAACAAAGCTTTTGTAAAGAGTAACCTTAAAAAGCACAAACAGTTTTGGTCAGATATACAGGCAAACAATTACGTACAAGATATAATAGAAAATGGCTATAAAATTCCTTTCAAAACAATGCCAAATAAAATGTTTTTAAAAAATAACAGATCCGCCCTAGAAAACCAAGATTTTGTCTCAAAAGAAATAAACGATCTTGTGACGTTGGGTTCTGTCAAAGAAGTCCGTGATATTCCACATGTAGTAAACCCTTTGACCGTTGCAATCAGCTCTTCTGGTAAGAAAAGACTGGTCTTAGATCTCAGACACCCAAATCAATTTATTCACCTAGATAAAGTCAAATTCGAGGACCTCAATACAGCAAAGAACTACCTTAAGCAAGGGGATAGTCTCATATCTATTGACGTAACTTCAGCTTACCACCATATAGATATATGTCAAGGTCATCAATCCTTCCTCGGTTTTTCTTGGGAAGAAAATGGTGTAAAGAAATTCTATGAATTCACGGTCCTTCCATTTGGTATATCAACTGGCGGCTTAGTGTTTACTAAGGTCATGAAATGTTTAGTAACTCATTGGAGAAAAGTAGGATTACAAGTCATTTTTTATCAAGATGATGGTTTGTGTATTTCATCCAATATATCAGAATCCTTGAGAGATTCTGCTCGTATCAAATCAGACCTTATCAGTGCAGGCTTTATTTTGAACGAAAAGAAATCTATCTTTGAACCTCAAAAATGTATCACTTGGTTAGGGTTTGTTTTGAACATGGATGAAGGAAAAATCTATGTTCCTAATTCCAAGATAGAAGGCATGAAATCTTCCATTAGAGAATTATTAAAACAGAAAAAGGTGAAATACAGAAAAATTGCCGAAATCGTGGGAAAAATCATTTCCATGCATCATGGTCTAGGTAAAATCTGTCAGTTAATGACAAGGTATCTCAGCATGAAAATAGCAGGAATAACTAACTGGGAACATTACACAGTACTCTCGGTTGATGATAAAAGAGAAATGATGTTCTGGTTATATGACATAGATAAATACAACGGTGTCAGTCTAGTAGAATATAGTATTCCTGAAAGAATCATTTACTCAGATGCATCGGACTCTGCCGCAGCTGGCATTTTGACTTGTGAAAATTCAAAAGAACGATGTTTTCTAAATTGGTCCGATTCAGAGAGACATAAAAGCTCAACATTCAGAGAATTAAAAACTGTAGAGATAGTCTTAGATACATTCAAAGACAAACTAGCAAGAAAAACAGTAGCTTGGTCAACAGACAACAAAAATGTTGTGTCTATAACTAGTAAAGGCAGCATGAAACAAGAATTGCAAGACATAGCTGTCAAAATATTTAATCAATGTGTTGAGTTCAATATTTATCTCAAATTCCAATGGGTACCTAGAGAATTCAATGTTGAGGCAGATGCCCTTAGCAAAACATTAGATCCAGACGATTGGATAGTATTTCCATCTATATTTAAGTTTTTGAGCAAGAGATATGGTATTCACACTATTGACAGATTCGCAAGCGAGAAAAATACTCAAACAGAAAGGTATAATTCAAAATTCTCCGAGCCTAACTCAGAAGGCGCAGATGCGCTTAGTTTCAATTGGTCTGGCGAAAACAATTGGGTAGTGCCCCCTATACAAGACATAGGTAGAGTTATAAAACATGTTAAAGCATGTAAAGCAATGGCGACATTGATTGTTCCAAAATGGCCATCTTCATATTTTTGGCCACTCGTCTGCAAGAACGGAAATTTTGCAAACATTGTTGTTGATCACATAGAATTCTGTAACCCCATGAAAATTTACAGACAGGGTCAGTTCAAGAATACAATCTTTGGAACTACAGAGTTAAAATCACATGTTCTAGCGCTAAGATTGAACGGAAAGTTGGCAACGCCAACAATGCAACATTAACTTGATAGCATATAATATTAAGCCACTGATGCAAACATAATTTCATAAATGCAAAGTTGATATGCAATAAGATGTCTTACTGGAAAGCCCGCCGAGGCAAAGAAAAAGAAAAATGCCTCAGAGGCAATGTTATAGAGAAAAATGCCTCAGAGGCAATGTTATAGAGAAAAATGCCTCAGAGGCAATATTATAGAGAAAAATGCCACAGAGGCAAAGATATAGAGATAGAATGCCTCAGAGGCACTAGCATGATATATGCCGCCGAGGCAAATGTTAAATGAATTATGAAATGCCTCAGAGGCCAGTAATGATCCACAGTGGATGCCGCCGAGGCAAGAAACAAGTTATGCCACAGAGGCTAATATATATGATTAAATATTGAAAACACAGGCAATTGTATGATCAATTACCATTAAGCAATAAAAGTAGTTAAAAAACGTATGCATGAACGTACTTTCTGTAAAAATAGAATAGAATAGAATACAACATATATTTGCTTAGATCATTTATAGTAATAATAATATAGAATAAATATAGAATAAAAGCAACAGTATAAATATTATATATTAAATCAATTGCATATTTACAGGAAAAGATGGTAGCCGAGGCGCTCTATGCAGAACAGAAACATATCGCATATTTAGTATTTCAGATGCAGTTGAAAGCAAAAACCGATGAATAAAGGCCGCGAAGACGGCATATTTTAAAATAATCACTAAGAAACATATAATTAAGAACATATTCACGATTTCAGAATCATTCAACATGGCTTAGCATCAATGCAACCTATTGAAGATCCACAATTGGCAGCATTATCAGTTGATCTAATGAACGAAATCGCACATCATGGTACAAGTGACAATACGCAGAAGAAATACAATTGTTATTTCCAAAAGTGGACTGCATGGACTGAAAAATTCGCAGAAGTAAAAGACATTCCAGGCGAACCAAAGTTTATAGCCATATTCATGCTTTCACAAATGCAAAGTGGCTCCTCTCATCATGTACTTAGTGCCATCAAATCCAGTATAAGCTGGGTACACAAAACAGCAGGTCTTAATGATCCTTGCACATCGTTTTTGGTATCAAACATTCTCGAAGCCTCAAAAAGACAATCTGGTAAACCTACTATAAAAAAGGAACCAATCACAGTCGAAATGTTGACAAAGCTTACTGAATCGTTAGACAATAATAACTCTCTCAAAGACTTGAGAAACGTTACGTTATGTGTACTAGGCTTTGCAGCCTTTCTTAGATATGACGAACTCTCTAACATAACAATAGGGGACATTTCATTCAAAGATCATTATTTCACCATTTCAATCACTTCTTCAAAAACAGACGTGTATAGAGAAGGTAATACCGTTGTAGTAGCAAAAACAGGCAACCCAACATGTCCATTCAGTCTTCTCAAGCAATATTTAAATGCTTTGAATCCTACCCAAGCTTTAAGTGAAGACCAATTTATTTTCAGAGGTTTATCTTTCAAACAAGGTATTTTCGTCGCCAGAAAGGCAAACAAAAAGCTATCTTATACCACTGTCAGAGAAATAGTTTTGGCACAATTAAAAAGCATTGGGCTGGATCCAAAACTCTTCGGAGTGCATTCCTTAAGGTCAGGTGGAGCCACGGCAGCTGCCAATGCTTCAGTTTTAGATAGAAATTTCAAAAGGCACGGTCGATGGAAATCAGAATCCGCCAAAGACGGTTACATAAAA